TGGGTCTCATCATCATTTTGTCACTTACTACTCAAGTCATTCAAACTTGCAAACCTCGGTTTCTTCATATACAAAATGGGAATACCGACCATACAGGGTTGTTGTGAATCACAATGAGAAAAGGTAACCGTGTTGAAGTTATTTAAAAATTATAGAGTATGGAGTAAGTTGTCATCACTTATTTCACATCTTTAGTGTAACCTATACATGATTTATTTTTTTAAGAAAGCAGAAAGAAGGATAATATTGACCACTTTAACACCTTCTTTACTGAGTTAATCTTCACTATTTTAAAGACTGTCACATTGATTGAGACTAGTTGTGGAGAAAGAAACTGACAGGTGGCACTGGCTGGAATGAAGCCAAGAGAACTTGTACCTCCATTTCAAGTTTCTCATTTTTCTTCTCTTTATCACTGCTTGTCCTAGGACACATTATTCATGTTCCTCCTCTCCCATCATCCCCGGTATTAATGTAAAATTATCAGCAGAATAATTGGATAATTAACACCAGTGGTTTTTTTTTTTTTTTTTTTTTTGGCTATGCCCTTAATAAAATTTTATTTTCGTTCCTTCAGGAATAAAATTTCCTTCAAGAAATTCTTGAGAATCATTGAAGCATAATGCAAAAGAGCAAAACTACTATAAAGTAGTAGCATCACAAAACATTATGTATTTTACATTTTTATACAAAAACACATAAAAGCACACAGAGATACGTCTGTTAAATGCATATACTATGCACTCCTGGAGATGTTTGTACAAAGTATTTTCTGTCAATAATAGGAAGGAATTGAAGTGTTCTTTCCTGAGCATTAAGTGATCAGATTGTACTACTTCAATTGTTTTTTCCCACACCGGCAGAGAAACAAACACAATGACCTAATTGATTTTTTTAAAACTTCTATTGCCAAATACCACACAGCATTCATGTGGTGTTTCAGTGAACTCGACTCCCTACTCTCCCTGTCTCCCTATACCCACTCTATCCCAAGGGCTTACCTACTAGTTATAACAGATACGGTAAAATCTGTGTAAAAAGAAAGAGAAGAGGGCCATAACAAGTGGCTACATTTGCTCTAGGTCCCTCTGACCCATAAGAACCTGTAAATCTTCCTCTTGATTTTTATTTTCTATTTAGATTTGCAGTTTCTTAAGTGTTATAGAAGAAGTCTTCATACAAAAACTATGCAGAAATGAAATGGAGCTGTAATTCAATATCTACTTCATAGGTTAATGATTTCTGGTTTTCAGGTGCAAACAACAAAGTAGATAGAGAAATTGTTAAAAATGCAATTCTGATCCAAAGACTAGAACATCTGATTTGGTGGGATATTGATGAGCCCCTTTTATTTCTCTGCCAGTTGGTGTCAGAAGCAGAATTAGAAGTCAGATCTGACTCCCTGTCTCCTAGGCTACAATGTCACCATTAAATCTGTGAAATTTAAACAGTAAAATTTCATTTATTGAATATTTGATACATTTTAATGATGACTTGGGGTTTTCTCCATTGGAAAATGCATATTCTACAGCCAAGGCTGGAATTGGACAAGGTCTATTTTGGCATCTAAAGAGTGAGTCATCATCTAGAACTGTGCTTTCCAAAACAGTAACCACACATGGCTTTTGAGTACTTGAAATATGGATAGTGTGACTAAAATAACAAATTTTTAATTATTTTAAAATTAACTTAAGTATCCACACATGACTGCTGGCTACAGAACTGTTTTGCAGATATAGAACATTGCCATCATCACAGAAAGTTCTATTGGGCAGTGCTGACTATAATGTATCCCTCTGTCTTACTGTATATACACCTTCAACAGTTTGAAAATAACTGATGCTCTTTAACTAAAAGGCAGCTGCCAAGATCAAAGGCAGACGCCACTTGGGTTATATTTAAAGTGACCTGGTGCCCGGACACCTTTGTTCTCAGGGGCATTCTAGTTAAAACTAACATAGGCCAACCTGGATTCCAATCCCTTCATTACTAGTCATTCGCTGAACATCTGTGGACAAATTTTCCTTGAGTGTTTGACTCTCAATTTCTCCAGTTGTAAATGGAGAAAGCTACTGATCACATTAGATGTGCTCAAGGTAGCAAAAGCCTGAATTCACTGCCCTCCTCTTTATTTCACCTGAATAAAAAATATTACAATATTAGCTTCACTTTAGCCAATTACCCCCAGACACCTATCTCCCTTGTGAAGAAATTCCTGAATATTCACGTTTAACCTCCTTGAGAGAAACTCCTAAGAAAAGGGGTTCCGCTTAAGTCTCCTTTAGCTGATCATCAACTGCCTACTCACAGCATGCTTTTCTTTTGTTCCAAGTAAACAACAAAGGCTTTTCCAGTTCTAGTTGAACCAATGGCCACCATCCTGAGATACTTGTTCAGCCCTTACAGCTAGAACCCTCAGAGACCTGGGTCTCCAGAGAGCATGAAAGGCTACTCAGAATGCCTTTTGGGACTCCTAGTGGCAACAGTAATATCAATGAGAAGCACCTGTTTTGTTGTTCTAGCTAGCTCGCTCCCTCCTTCCCTCCCTCCCTCCTTCCTTCCTTCTCATTACTCTATGTCGGTACAAAAATTAAAGTTCAGGGGTACAGAGCTCTGGTGAGAACTGACTTGCTAAACCCAAAGCTTCTCAACCTCGGCTGTATTTTACAATCATTTAAGATGCAATTCAAACACTGTGATACTGCATATGCCTGAAAGATTCTGTTTGGAAAGCTCCTGAGATCAACTGGCAACACAATGTGGATAGAAATAAGAACAGAGCTTGGATAAAGCTGTTAACAGTAGCAGCCACCTGTAGAAGCTGGTGCAATCAGTGACACAGACAACCCTTTCGTTTTCTCTATTGTTCTCCTGAGCAGTTGTCAACTTGCACAACACACAAGAGTTACTCTAGTGATGTTAACTCACACTTAGTTTCTGCACTTAGGCTCTGGCACAATTTAGCACATTTGTTTGCTCGAGATAAGCCTTAAGATTGAGGAGGGCTAGGCAGGTAAATGCAGACAAAAAGACAGTATGGGGAAAATTGTGATATGAAATCCTTAAAATAAAATGCTTTTATTTTCAAATAAAATACTAGATTTGTAAAGAATTTGTTTCCAGAAAGCCCCTCTTTTCTGAAGGATAATCATGGTGAGAAAAACCCATCATGTTATATCTGGGATATTTAGCAATATCCCTGTATCTTTACACTGCTACAAAATACTAGATACATCTGATCATATGAATTGTTGAAGCATGCATTTGCTTTATTTCATTTTTTCTTTCCTTATTGCCTTAACAGGTTAGAGTTAGGCTGTAAAAAGCTAGTCTGTGTTTGTGTGTGTTTGTGTGTGTATAGTATAACAGCTTTCTATTTTTGATATTAGACTTTTTCTAATTCTATTGTGGTTCTAATAATCAGTTGAAACAGAATAACGAAAAGCATTGAATAAAGAAACCTTTCATAAATGGCAAACTAACATGTTTGTTCCTTCACAAGTCCCTGGTTTGGTTCCTTGTCATGTAGTGGAAGGGATCCTTGACAGTGAGGTCCCTCAAATGCAAGGGTTTGAAAATAAAAGCATTTTTTTTAAAGATTTCATATCACGATTTTCCCATACTGTCTTTTTGTCTGCATTTACCTGCCTAGCCCTCCTCAATCCTAAGGCTTATCTCGAGCAAACAAACGTGCTAAATTGTGCCAGAGTCTAAGTGCAGAAGCTTAGCGTGAGTTAGCATGACTAGAGTAACCCGTACGTGTTGTGCAAGTGACAACTGCTCAGGAGGACAATAGAGAAAACGAAAGGGTTGTCTGTGTCACTGATTGCACCAGCTTCTACAGGTGGCTGCTACTGTTAACAGCTTTATCCATAGCTCTGTTCTTATTTCTATCTCACATTATGCTCCCAGTTGTTCTCAGGAGCTTTCCAAACAGAATCTTTCAGGCATATGCAGTATCACAGTGTTTGAATTGCATCTTAAATGATTGTAAAATACAGCCGAGGTTGAGAAGCTTTGGGTTTAGCAAGTCAGTTCTCACCAGAGTTCTGTATCCCTGAGCTTTAATTTTTGTACCGACATAGAGGAATGAGAAGGAAGGAAGGAAGCGAAGGAGGGAGGGAGCTAGCCAGAACAACAAATGCTAGCATTCCTAACCCTCTGTCATAGTTAAGTTTATGTGTCAACTAATTAGGCCACAGGATTAAGACCATGCTGAATAGCTATTATACAGATATTTATATCCTATATAATTTAAACTTACCTAAAGCAACAGCTCCATATTTTCACTACAGTTTATGAACTCATTTTCTCCCAATGTTTATAACAATGGATGACGGCTTAGAAATTCAGTATACATTTTTAGTTGTTTGCTTGAATTATATAACATAAATTGCCTTAGTTCTCTAAAAATGTTTAATCAAAATCTATCATCCAATTAGAAAGCCCAGTTAATCACTGAAGTCCAACTCAACTTGTAAATACAGCTTCTTACTTAATTTCAGTTTATTTTGGAAACATGGAGTAACTTAAACTTATTATTGGAATCATTTCTGTAAGTCTTACTTTCAAACTGAATTCATGAGAAAGCACAGAACTTTCCAAAATCATAAAATGTCTTCTAAATATTTTAACTAAGAGTAATAAAAATAATATATCCTATTGCCAGGAGTGAGGGAAAAAATATTCAATCTATACGAAAGGCATCTACAAGAAAACAAAATCATGTGATATCTTGAGAGAAGATAATTGTTAAGAGAAGGCATAAAACTATTTTTGAAACAGAATTAGAACTGTTTATTTTATTAAAAAGTTGACACAGGTTATCTTTAGTGTTTATGACTTACAAACTAAAGTATTTAATATTTAACATGTTTAAATACAAGCAGCAGCAGTTTGGTAATCAAAAGGAATAATTTGAATCATCTCAGAAAAATAAATTCATTATAATTAGGATATTTTAGAATATGATTAAAACATTTAAAAGAAAATGTATTCACCTTTCTTGTCATCAAAGTACAGAGTCTGTTGAGCTGGATTTGACCACTGGAGGGAGGTGTTATCATTTTGATCAACCCTGCAGGTCAAAATTGCAGTTCCACCTTCAACAACTGTTACGTTCTGTGTGAGTGGAAACTGTCCTTGGCTGCCTAAAAGGGGATTAAAGAAAAGGTTGATTAAAAGAAAGTTCTAAAATGATTAACTTCCCAAGAGCTATATGGACTTAACTCCTCATTCCAAGTAAAATTTAAAACAACCAAACAACAGCAAAACTATATATTACAAAAAGGCAAAACATAATTGAAAACCCTTAATCAGAAGACGACAATTTGACATACCATTAGGATTCCTTTATATTCCCTCACATGCTCCAGAAAAGCTTCTTCTCCTCCTAGGCACACATGAAGATTTATATTTAAATAGTAACATGATTATCATTAATTTCCCTTGGCCTTGCATTAATTATACGGTGCTAGACCTGGTTATCTTTGAAGATAATAATTTTGGATGAATTGAACTCTTTAAAAGCAGCAGAAGAAACAGGTAAAATAGTTTCCTTGTAGCTTTTATAATCCTGAATAAAGCCTATAAAATATGAATACTAGAACTTTAGATTCAATTTCTGATAGAAGAAATAAAAAAAGAATCCTATTTCACCAGGGTTTCTTGTAGATGTAGCTGTTTTGAGAAATACAAAATGTGCTGGAGAAAACAATGTAAGTATTCTTCAAAAAGTGTTCATCTTATAGAATATCCATCAAAATCTTAAAGTGATTACTCTAGCCCAGGAGATAGAGACAATATTCTTTTTTGTTCCTTTCTGTAGTTTCCTGATGTTTTTTCCAATGAATATATATTTATTTTATAAATCAAGGAAAATGTATCTATAAATGACCATTGTCAATTTGGATATCATTAGAATGTAATCAATTCTATCTTCCTAAGTGTTATACTAATTTATTAAAGTAATTCATGTAATAACATTACTTAGTAAAAGCACTTCTAAAGTTAAAACAAAATTCTTGCACACAGCAACATAATATGTAAATTTCACTGCAGCACGATGATCTGGAGATGAACTCTGAAAAGTCTGATAACAATTATCAACATGGGTAAAAAAATGACTTTCTAAAGCCAGGTTAAAATACTATTATGGAAGCAAGGTAGTTTATTAAGTCAAGGATAATTTACATATGCAAGAACATTATGATAACTTAATCACACCCATGAAATATATTTTCCTTTTCTTCTTTAGTTTTGTAATGATTCTGTCATTACTACAAGCACCACCTGAGGTTATGCTGGAGCTATTGGCATAAAGAATCTTATTACCAAGAAGCCCGTTGATTGGCACCGTAAGAAAGAGAAGAGCCTGAAGGGGAAAATTTCTTTCCAGACCTAAATGACACAAGCACAGAAGTTCATGACCACGTTATATAATTAAGCCTATCAAGTATAAAAATCTGCTATCAGTAGCTTTGTCTCCTCAGTGCCAACCTCTTAGAGTCACTATGGCAACTCCCCAGGATATCTCCCTGTAATCTTTAGGGTGGAGTTTTTAAATTGAGGTTAGGCAATGTCTGGAATAAACTCTTTGATAGTTGACTTCAAAGTCAATGGGAGCCAGAATGGGATGTGTTTTGCCTTCAGCTCAGAGGTGACCTCTAGCAGGGAAACATGGAGAACTATCAATCTTGTGAAGTGAGGTGAGGTGAAAAACCACATCAGAGAAAACATGAGCTAAAACAGAAGGAAGGAGTAATTACCAAAGATATCAGATTAGCAGCTCATAAATATGAAGCTCAGAACGTTTGTAAGATACTTTGCTTAGGTGCCCAGTTATTGACATAATGCATAAACTGAGCAATCTAGGAGAGTAGGGGATCCTTTAAGTAATAAAAAGCACATAACTGCTAATAAATACACATAGTTCATCCCAGATGACAATTTGACTATCAACTGGTACATAAATAATACTGTCTGCTTCTTTAAAGTGGAAAAAGAGCAGTGATGCTTGCAACAATTTCATCCACTACATTTGCAAAATAATTTTCAAAACATCCCTGTAAGAAAATATTATCCTTCTCATTTCACAGATGGGTAAACTGACACTGGGTGGTTAAGTGATTTTTCCATGGAGAAACAGAGTCAATGAACCAGTTGGAGTTTGTTCTGAAATTTCAACATTTTATTCTTATTTTTCCACAAAGGCTGCTGGGTCATATCACTACTTGTTTAAATGTGAATTAGACAAAAATGAAAGGAAAAAAAAAAGTACTCTTTTAAAAATGAAACTTTGAATTCATACCTAGCTGAACTATGTCCTCATAAATTTCAATTATAACATTAAAATCAAATAAGGGAAGATATCAATGTTAACTGCCCTTAAATATCTTATCCTATTTAGAACTTACATTTGATAATTATTTCTGTCTTTCCTTATTGGCCTATAGAAGAAACTAAAATTTGTTATGGTGTTCTACATTCCAGGGACTCTGCAGACACTAGCACACCTAGACTTTGTCCTTCCAGGTAGGCGATTAGGACAGCTTCCCTCCATCTTCTCCCCACATGGATTCTGACTTCAGTTCCCTGGGACCTTGCAGCCTAAAATCCCTGCAGTCAAATAATTTAGTTTTTCCCAATAAAGAGCAAACTCATATGGAGAATTTACTAATCCTGAATACCCTTACGATATGTAGTTTCCAAAATCAATTCAAAAGCCAGTGTTGTAGGCAGTCAAACTTCTTCTCAAAGCTTTGAACTGCCTTTTATTTCTGGTTTTAACCTGGAGACAGCATCAAGTTAGCTTCTACTTTTCTCTTTTAACTCCTCCTGGCTCAAAGTTGACAGGTTGTCATTTAATTCAATCTCAGAGAGTTTTTCTAAAGACATTACTAATTTTTCCAGTTAGAAAAATTAGTAGGTTACAAAGTTAAGGATTCATCCTCAATGTATTCATCAAAAAAGTATTTTGGGGGCCCTACTACATGCCTTGCCTTGTATGAATCAACATCTGAAAGATGCAAAGAGGAAGAGAAACTTGCTAAGGAGCTTCTGCAAAATAATCAAAAATTAGGATAGAGTATGATGGCAAGGGAGAAGGCAGTCTAGGTGTAGTATAGTACTCATCTTGTTTACCATCAACAAGAATTTCTAAAATTCATTGATCATATCATTGAGGCTAATTTTATTTTATTTTATTTGGAGGTTCTTAGTCTTTTAATTTAAAAAAATTATTTTTAGTTTTTTAACATCTTTATTGGAGTATAATTGCTTAACAATGGTGTGTTGGTTTCTGCTTTATAACAAAGTGAATCAGCTGTACATATACATATATCCCCATATCTCCTCCCTCTTGTGTCTCCCTCCCACCCTCCCTATCCCACCCCTCTAGGTGGTCACAAAGCACTGAGCTGATCTCCCTGTGCTATGTGGCTGCCTCCCACTAGCTATCTATTTTACATTTGGTAGTGTATATATGTCCATGCCACTCTTTCACTTCTTCCCAGCTTAAACGTCCCTGTCCCCATGTCCTCAAGTCCATTCTCTGTGTCTTTATATCTGTCCTGCCGCTAGGTTTTTCAGAACGTTTTTTTTTTTTAATTCCATATATATGTGTTAGCATATGGTATTTGTTTTTCTCTTTCTGACTTACTTCATTCTGTATGACAGACTCTAGGTCCATCCACCTCACTATAACTCAATTTCGTTTCTTTTTATGGCTGAGTAATATTCCATTGTATGTATGTGCCATATCTTCTTTATCCATTCATCTGTTGATGGACACTTAGGTTGCTTCCATGTCCTGGCTATTGTAAATAGAGCTGCAATGAACATTGTGGTGCATGACTCTTTTTGAATGATGGTTTTCTGAGGGTACATGCAGAGTAGTGGGATTGCTGGGTCATATGGTAGTTCTCTTTTTAGTTTTTTAAGGAACCTCCATACTGTTCTCCATAGTGGCTGTATCAATTTACATTCCCACCAACAGTGCAAGAGGGTTCCTTTTTCTCCACACCCTCTCCAGAATTTACTGTTTCTAGATTTTTTTGATGATGGCCATTCTGACTGGTGTGAGGTGATACCTCACTGTAGTTCTGATTTGCATTTCTCTAATGATTAGTGATGCTGAGCATCCTTTCATGTGTTTGTTGGCAATCTGTATATCTTCTTTGGAGAAATGTCTATTTAGCTCTTCTGCCCATTTTTGGATTGGGTTGCTTGTTTTTTTGATATTGAGCTGCATGAGCTGCTTATAAATTTTGGAGATTAATCCTTTGTCAGTTGCTTCATTTGCAAATATTTTATCCCATTCTGAGGGTTGTCTTTTCATCTTGTTTATGGTTTCCTTTCCTGTGTAAAAGCTTTTAAGTTTCATTAGGTCTCATTTGTTTATTTTTGTTTTTATTTCCACTTGTCTAGGAGGTGGATCAAAAAGGATCTTGCTGTGATTTATGTTACAGAGTGTTCTTCCTATGTTTTCCTCTAAGAGTTTTCTAGTGTCTGGCCTTACATTTTGGTCTTTAATCCATTTTGAGTTTATTTTTGTGTATGGTGTTAGGGAGTGTTCTAATTTCATTGTTTTACATGTAGCTGTCCAGTTTTCCCAGCACCACTTATTGAAGAGGCTGTCTTTTCTCCATTGTATATTCTTGCCTGCTTTATCAAAAATAAGGTGACCATATGTGCGTGGGTTTATCTCTGGGCTTTCTATCCTGTTCCATTGATCTATATTTCTGTTTTTCTGCCAGTACCATACTGTCTTGATTACTGTAGCTTTGTAGTATACTCTGAAGTCTGGAAGCCTGATTCCTCCAGCTCCTTTTATTGTTCTCAATATTGCTTTGGCTATTCGGGGTCTTTTGTGTTTCCATACAAACTGTGAAATTTTTTGTTCTTGTTCTGTGAAAAATGCCATTGGTAGCTTGATAGGGACTGCATTGAATCTGTAGGTTGCTTTGGGTAGTATAGTCATTTTCACAATGTTGATTCTTCCAATCCAAGAACATGGTATACCTCTCCATCTGTTTGTATCATCTTTAGTTTCTTTCATCAGTGTCTTATAGTTTTCTGCATACAGGTCTTTTGTCCCCTTAGGTAGGTTTATTCCTAGGTATTTTATTCTTTTTGTTGCAATTTTAAAAAG